TTTATTTTTAAAACAAATTTTCTAAATTCTGAAATTTTCATTAAAAATTAAATTTTTTAGCAAAACTATTAAAAAAGGACATTGTTTTAATATAAATTTTTCAATCATTTTTAAACAAAAAAAAAAAAAAATTAAAATCAAACTTTTGATATTTTTGAAAAAATCAATTTCATTTTTCAATTTCTTATATTTTAATAAAAACAGAAATTATTTTGTTTATTTAAAAATTTTTGAACATTTAAAATTTTCAAACATTATTCTGAATAAAAAAATTTAAAAAAAACCAAAATTAAAAAAAATAAAGAAAAAAGCACATTTATAACCTTTGATTTATAAATTTTTCATTGAGAAATTTTTTCAAACAGTCAGCATGAAATGATTTATTAAAAAAGGCGGAGGATAATAATTAATCGGAAAATTTTGAAATGAAATTTGAAAATTTTTTTTTTCCATTTTTTAATTTTCTGCAAAAAAAAAAAAATTTACATTTATTTTTTTTTTTTTTTTTTTTTTTTATTTCAAATTTTGATAACTTTTTTTTTACGTTTAAATAAATGGATATGGAAATTAAATGAAAAAATAAAAAATTTCAAGAAAAAAAATTTAAAAATATAAATTTATTTTAAGAAAAAAGGTAGATTAAAAAAATTTAAAAATTCTTTTTATGAAATTTTTTAGAAATCTTACAAAATATTATTTTTTTATGTAAATTTATTAAACTTTTTTACTGTGTTCTTTTGTATTTCCATTTTTTTTTATTTTTTTGATATTTGATTTTTATGGAAAATATTCATTAACTGTGCTGAGATTAAATAAAAATAAGATCATATAATTAAAGTTTAGCAGTAGTTAAATTTCAAATAAGATGATACTGTTACTTTTTACCCTTCTCAGTTGAAATTGAAAACTCAAATTATTTCTCCAGAACGTGTTTAAAGAAAAGTATTTTTTAACAGCGGAGAACAATGCTGAACTCAAATAATGCAACTAAAATATTTGGTTAAGTCTTCCATACTTGATAATTACATGTCCGACTATAAAACACAAAATTACATTTATTTTAATTATATAAATGTTAATCTGATTGGTCCAAATTATACAATTTTCATTTAATAGACAATGACAATTTTTCACACGGACATTTTGAAAGGTTGATGTTGCTTTAACTAATGTTAAAATTTTTTAAAAATTCAATTTTAAATTTTTTAAAAATCTTTTGAAAATTAAAGAAATAAGAAATAATTTTATTTTTTCAAAAAATTTTTTTTTTTTTTCAGAAAATATTGTCCATATTCATAAAAACAAATTAAAACAAAAAAAGCATTTGAAACTAAATAATATATTTGTTTTATTGAGTTTTTGTATGTTATAATTCACAGCTGATTTTCATTTTACGTTTCAAAAAAAAAAAAAAAAAAAAAAAAACATGATTTGCATTCTTCAAAGCCTTGTGTTTTTAACTATTGTAATCATTAAACCTGATAAAAAATGTTAATTTCTTTAGAATTTTTTCATAAAATTAGTTCTGGGGTGTTAATAAAAAAAAAAAATATTTTTAAGAATGACTTTAAAAAAAAAAATATTTATAATAATTTTGATCATCTGTGAATAGTTTCTGAAAGTTTCATTAACATCTGACAATTATTTTTATTTTTTGCAAGATTTTCCAAATTAAAAACCAAAACAAAAAAGTTAATCATAAAAAATTATCTATATTATTTACTTTCTTGTTATGATAAAAGAGAAACAAGGTTTTTTTAAATCAAAATTTAGAATCAAAAAAAAGATGGAAAATTTTTTAAAAATAATTAAAAAAAATTTAGTCTATCCTCTTCATAAAAAATTAAAAAATTTTGATGGATAAAAAAAAAAAAAAAAATAAAAAAAATAATTCTTTTTTCATCAGACTATGCTCTATGTTTTAAATGATTCCGTGGAGTGAAAAGCAAAGGTTAAAAACCCAGGTTGTTTTTAATATATGTGTTTTGTGTGTGTGTGTTCCTTTATATATGGGATCGGATTTCTTACATTTTTCAGCCGATAAAACAAACATCCACTTTTTTTTTTTTTTTTTTTGGCAGGTAGTATTTCTTATTAAAAACAAAACTTTTTACATTTTTTTATACATTCAGAATGCTTTTAAAAATTCCATTTACAAGACAATTGTTTATAATAAAATTCTCATTCTATTCAATCGGGGGACTTATCATAATGATATTGAAAAACAAATTTTTTTTTTGAGTTTGAGTTTGTCAAAAAAAAAAAAAAAAAAAATTAAGACATGCGTGTCCGTCAACCTTAAACAATAATTTAACGATCTCTACTGATTAAACAAACAAAAATCGGATAAATTCTTTATCTTTAGGGAAAGATAATTCCAAACCTGTTTTAGGGCCTTTTTACAATTCCTTTGCAATTTGTTAAAAGGCAGATCAAAAAGGCATTGGTTCTATTTGAAATTAATTCAATATTTAAAAAAGAAAGTATTAAGAAATAATTTAAAAATGATCGACAAAAATTTTTGAAGACAAAAACAACAATATTTCAAGATGATAAAATTAAGGAAAGAACACAGTTTTGTAATAAATTAATAAACCCAAATAAAGTTAATTTTTTTTTTGTATTAGAAATTTGAAAACGAGTGGAAATTATATTCAAATCAGAATTCTAATTATGAATCACCACAAGCAAAAATATGCAATTTTTTTACTGTATTCAATAAGTAAAAATCATAAATTGTAAAAGATTACAGAGAAAGGCTACCTACATTTTTCAACCGATTTCAACAAAACTTCAGTTTTTTTTTTTTTTGGCAGGTAGTGTTTCTTATTGTCTTGCACATTTTTTTCTTTATTTTTACATTGAATGCTTTAAAAATTCCATTTACAAGACAATTGTTTATAATAAAATTCTATTCACCAATCGATAGACTCATAACGATTGTAAACAATGTTTTTGTTTGAATTTGGGTTTGACCAATTCATAAAAAAAAAAACAAAAAAAAAAACTAATTAACACATGCGTGTCCGTCAACCTTAAACAATAATCTTTGTGAATTTTATTTTTCAGTCTTTATGATGGTCGATACTTGATCTATCTCTTACTGTTACATCCCCGGGCAACGCCGGGCTCTACTGCTAGTTTTATTATAATTTCCTATCTCAAAGTGTATATTTTCAGTAATTTTCTGTATGGTAATTACCTTTAGAATCCAGAATCTAGTCTTTAAAGTAAAATTTGACTTTTATTTATTTTTATAGACTAATAAATAGTATTTGCATACAATTTGCTTTCTTTATATTTATTGATTTTTAAAAGTTTAGAACAAATATCAATAGCTTAGACTCCTGTAATTTCAATCAGGACTTGTTTTTTATTAGATAGGGATGGATTTTCTGTAAAACTATAAGAATTGATTTTTTTTAATTTCTTCACTTGTGGTCACTTGAAAATAGTTATGCATTAGCAAAAGATTAATAACCCATGTACTGACTTATGTTTCAGCACCCAAATAAAACTATTTCATAATAATAGTATTAAGTTGTTCAAATTTCTTAGATGAATCATGTCCATTAAGAAAAGTAATATTTCACAATAATTTGCTTGTTTTAATAATCTTCATTGCTGGTGCTTCAAGCTGATATGCAGTACATTAAAGTAACTGCTAAACGTATTCATATTTATATGGCATTATGTAAATTGGCTTTTCTTAAATTCTGATAGATAATCTCAATTATGATTTCTGAAATACATGCAGAAAGTATACAAATTATATACATGAAGTGGTGTTGAACTTATTTTGGCCTGAGCAATTTTCCAAAATTTAACCTAATAGCAAATGTTTTTTTTAGAAGTCCATTTTTGGCTGAGTAGAAAACTTTTAATCTCTCCTCATATATTTTATTATATCTCGGAATATATGGTTGCAGATTAGAAACTAAGTTGGTAAATGCACATTCATAAAATCTCTATATTTTTTTCGTCTATAATTTGCTGTTAAAAAAGTTCAGTCCAAGAATTATTAAAATAAAAACTTTTCTTATTAACTTTTTGCAAAAATTAAACATGGAAGAAACATTTATATAGGAAATTTTTATTTCAACAAATTTAAAAGATTGCATTAATTTAAATTTACATCTTTTTCAAAGGGTAAATTAATGATGTAAGTAAAGAAAAAGTGGTGAAAGTTTGTTCAGAAGTAAACTTGGATTTTGTGATATTATTTATGTTGATATCATAGTGATAGAATTATAGAACAGAGCTGGGTAAGATCTGAAAGCAATATTATTGTAATGTAGTAGACATAACCATATGGAAAAATTAATTCATTACACTAGAATAATGCTTACAGATATTTTCAAAGATATTTAGTTAAAGAAAACAAAATAATTAATTACCAAATAGTAAAAATGAACTATCTAAAGAAAAGTTGTTATACTGAACATAATTTTAAAGGTTTGTTATAAAATTAAGTTTTGTATTGTCAGTTTATCAATGGATATATATGTGAAATATAGAATTTTTTAACTCTTGTGTAATTTTTGCTTAATGTTTTTACCTCAAAATAACTGTTATGAGTCAAGGAACTTTTATGCAGATAATAAAAACAAGTAACAATTTGACTCCTTATAGATTCACTGGAATTTCCTTGTAAATATTGTGTGTAATAATATAATTATAGTTTTTGTATGTTAGGAGGTTTTCAGCCCGAGTGTAATGGATTTTATCAAAGAGGGCTCTCACAGCTGATGAGATGGGAGTGATTTTAGCCATGGATGTGATCTCATCATTGTAGTCCCACTGCATTTTCCCCAACATCATATGGGCATGTCTTGGGGACATTCCTTTCATTAATCGCCTTTCATAATCTTTTTCTATATCTTCTCTCATCATCTCTTTTGTTGGCAACTTCATTGAACCATCAAGATGGGCAAGGATGAATTGCACTTGGCAGTGAAATGTTGGGAAGGGGCAAATTTTATTGGCAATTCCAACAAAATTTAGTGAAGGATATGATGCATGGACAATGTGTTTAAAAAGAGGATAGACACGCCCATCAAGGACTTTTAAATCATAGAATTGGCTTAGAAATGGAAATGTGTATTTATATCCAGTGCAAAACAAGACAATATCTACTTCAACTTTGCTTCCATCTTTCAGATATACATAGTCCTCAGAGAAATGGTTAATTCCAGTTGCCTGAACCAAGTTTGATGGCATTTCACTTGTTAGTTGTTCTTTGTTATGAGCAAGATATATCTGGGAAGAGAAAAAGAACAATTGTAATTATTAAAAAGAAAGAAGCAAAATCCTAAAAACATTAATAAATTTTCAATAATTTAAGGTGAAAGACAAGATCTGTTTGGTGAAAGAAATACACTCAGGGTAATGGTGACTTCGGCCTCTTCAAAGTAAATCTTTTGGAACTTCACATTTATCACAGCATACTTTCTACTTTTGAAAACACACTGCAAAACTCTTTTACAGGATAATAATCAGACTCTTTGTTATGAACTCCTTAATCTTGTCCAGTGTTTCAATATGAAAAGCAAGAGGTAACAGAAAGCCACATATGGACTACAGACTGACCAACTGATCTGGGTGATACAATATCTTGCCAAAAAAAAAAAACCTGCACAAAACCTGAAGAACTCAATCAGGTATTGTTTATTTAATAGCATCTTACTATTGATTGAGTAACTTCTGTTTAAGTAAGTCTTGTTACATCAAGGCCATGAAACAATAAATTACTTACTGAAATATTCAAAATGGTAGGATATGTTCTAGACAGAATTAATATTGTGAAAAGTTTCTTAATAACAAATAATATTTATTCTATGCATCATATTTGTACCATATAAACATTTTATAAATACTATAATTACTAAACTGAAAGAATGTGAACCAATTTGAAAACAGGGAGTTCATTCCTTTTTGATAAGAGCTTATACTAAAAATTAGTAAGAGTTTTATTAAATATATGTTTATAAAATAACAGAACCTTATGAAATATATTTATAGAATAACTGGGTAAATTTTAAAAGATAATTTAATTAAAAATAAAGACTTTTCACAATGTAGATATATTTGTAGTCTCGTATAGAATCCCAGCTTGAAGTGAACATTTGGCATAAATATGACTTTAAAAATGACCTATAAACAACAATCATCTACATATATTTCCACAATCATATACATGTTTCTTTAAAAATGAATGTAAATGAATCATTGATAGAATAAAGCAAAATTAAAATTGCGAAGTCCAAATTTTATATGTTATACAAACTGTACTCCCATGTAAAAATAAGAATAATTTGGAAAATGATTAAGAAACTTATCAATTTATGCTTTTTTGTATTTATTTTAATCAATTCATTTTTTATCATATTATTTATGTTGTGTAATTGTTTTATCATTTTTTATCATAATATTTATGTTGTGTAATTGTTTTCTCTTTAAGATGAAATAAAAACCATAGAAATAAGGGGGCATTGTTGTTTGAATATAAAAACTTACAGTAGCTATTTTATTATCTTCTTTTAAAGTTTAAAAATAATATTGCAATGAATAAATCCCAAAAGATAAGTTCACAAATTTTTATATTTGCATGATGAAAGATCAGATCATTTACCTGAAGGCAGTGATCCTCAAAGTGATTATATATATATATATATATATATATATATATATATATATATATATATATATATATATATATATATATATATATATATATATATGTATTTGTATTTGCATGTGTTTTATATACATTACATGTTTTAGAAACTAAAAAATTAACATTTTTTAAATATATATAAAACATTAGGTAAACAAAAACACTAGAAACAAATTATGAGATAATACATAAATAAACAAATACAAATATTGAAAAGTTTGTTAATTTTAGAAAAAGTTAGAAACAGAAAATGAAAATATAAATTTTTTGGAGCTTCTAAAACATGTAATTTATATAATGTTTATATATGTTCCAAAGTTTGTTATAGCAGGGGTGATAGTGGAGAAGCTCCCACTGTCTATAAAATGGTTCCATGGCATGTATCTCAAATAGCCTCTGACAACTAAGTCCAGCTTCAATCCAGAAAATGGGTGAAGGCAGAAAATTGGTGCCTCATAACCAGCTGCTTTGGTAGATGGAGCTCAAGATCTCAGGAAGGCAGTCTATCTAAGGGAATGAAAAACCTTGATTTTAAACTTCCACTGGCTTGCAGTCATCTAAACATGGAAGGCTATGGAAGTATATCCAGACAAAAAACCCAAAGGTGGTTGACTGACAGCTTTCTGGCAACTGCAGCTAAGCCATCCACAAACATAATGTCCTGTGAATCTTGTTGGCACAGTCAAGAAGGAGGCCTTGTAATCTGGGCAGCACACAGCTCCCACCTGCCATTGGTCAGGCCTGTGCCCTGGAGTGATCACTCCAGTTGCATCATCAAAGTACTGAATTTTGACCAAACTGCGTGCTGCCTTTATCATGCGAGATAAACAGATGCCTAAAATATTTGCATGATATATATATTTTCACATTTGCATGATGAAAGCCATATACTGAAGAGAGTAATTCTCTTAGCTTAAAGTGACACCATGTGATATTTGAAAATTTAAGCAATCCTGACAATCATAACTCACCATTGATAATGCACAATCACAATGATAAGAAGTAACATTTAATTGGCATATTGTTATTTACTCTGTACATCTAGTATTGAAATTTACCATTTCAATACTTAGATGGTACTTGATCTATAGACAAGGTCCAGCATTTACTGGATTGCTCTACAACTCTATCAAACATTATTTCTATATAGTGGCATACAGATAACCACAGATTCTTTGCAGGCTGGATTTTCAGTAGTCACTATTATAAAAAGGAACTAACCAACCTAACCACACGAATGTAAATATAATTGTTCGAAATTTTCTGACACAAGGCGCTGTGGAAAAAAATCCTTATGTACTAAGAGTGCTCTGATTCAAATACTTTGGACCACTACCTTAAAATTTCATATTAGTGTTCATAATGAAATAATGATCCAAAATTTTCTATACTGATTAAAATTTCTTTGAAAATTTATCTTGTTAATTAGATTATTGAATAATGTGTTATAAAATAAAATAATAAACAGGAACAATCTTTCTGGTTTTCTCTCTAATTATTAAATGAGCAACTGTTAAAAACCAGATATTTGGTTTAATCTAAAGACAAATAGGAACGAAAATGCTAGTGATGTAATTTATCCTTTCTACAACTAATTACAACATAATGTGGGCATACAGAACATGTCTTATTCTTTTCTACCTTTTATATATATTTATCTATTCATCTATATAAAACATTCATAAAAGAAGGATTACTGCCATATATATATTTCTAAAGAATTAATATATTTATATTTAATCTGACATTTTTATTACTTCAAAAGTTATTATAGTATTTCAAATAAAAATGTCCACTATAATAACATTTGAAGTAGTGTGTATGTGTGTGTGTAAAATAAACAAAAAAAATTAACTTTTTGAGTTAAACAATTTCAACTTTTGTATATGGAACACATTCTTGATACTTTTCAAACACTTTGCTCCAAAGAACTCACAATTACACATTATATCTTTCATCCTTAAAATATTGTTGAGCAAAGTGAATAAGGAATTGGGAATAAAACTTACCTTTCGGGCTACACTAGAAAGATCAATAGCAATATCAATTCCTGAGGCCCCTGCTCCAAGACATAGAATAGTTTTCCCCTCAAAAGGTTCAGGTTGGCGGTAGTCATGGCTGTGCATAGTACTACCTTTAAACTTGTTTAACCCCGGAATTTGTGGGATATTAGGAATTGAATAATGTCTGAAAAATAGATGCAGTCAAATAGCAATTGAAAGAATAAAGAGAAAAGTTGGAAGTAAAATAAAAATGCAAACACTTTCAGAACAAAGTTGCCTCTTGTAATGGAGGTAACTAGGCTGAAACCACTCAGCTGCACAGAAATTTGTCTTAAAAATTTGGTTATAACTGATAAGGAGAGACTTACTGAATGTGTAATAAATATTACTGATTTTAGTTGTGGGAGATTAAAATTGATAATTGATAGGTAGCATGAGCTGTGCAGTGGATTTACATTCCTAACTTGATTCTCCATGAATAATGTCTTAGGTTAAAATTGGCCTACTCTAACATAACATTAAAATTGATATGAAGATATATCTATAGAACAGGAAGATCAATAATATTACAGACCTAAAACAAGTTTTAGCAAATTAACATTTTAATGAGTCAACATTGTTGCTAGAAAGGCTATAATGCTTGCCATTTTATAGATTTCAGAGGAAATAATCAGCATAAAATATCTCAATTACTTGGCTGAAAAGTGAGTTAAACTTTATATCAACATCATCTTCAAAAAAAAAGAAAAAAAAGAACCATATTGCCATTACTTGTCGTTAAATATTAATGTTAAATATGAAAATACTATGAGAATATAATGTGAATGAATTTTAAGATAAAAATTCATTGCAATTGCATAACGAATATCAAAGTTTAAAATTAGTAAGTTAACTCCCAAATGACCATATTAATGTTTATAAGGAACAAATTATTGATTGTTTAAAAGAAAGCCACTTTTTCTCAGAAAAAAAAATCAGAAATTTTTTACATTAAAACCACATGAAAGAATAATTGCTAAAAGGTTGTTGCCAAATTTGCTGAATCTAAATCATCAAAATGAGATATTTGATATGAGACAACATCATATTTTGAATAATGATGCCAATTTTATAAACAACCTATTAGAATTTTAGCCAAGAGTGTATAGCAAAATTAAAACAAATCACATTATTGTGTTGATAAAATTAAAATGGAAAAAAATATCTGTGAATGAAAAATAAAATTAACTCAGTATGAAAAACATTTGATAAAAAGATATTTTTCTATGGTCAAGAAAATAGGAATGGTGCACATCATGCTCAGATCATAGTGCAGACTGCATTTCCATAAACACACACACACGCACACACACACAAAATATCTGACTTTGAAAAATAATTTAAATAGCAATTAATTTGAAAATATAAATTTCAAAGTGAAAAAATCATTTGAAGCATGCAATTCAAATTATTTTTATATAAAATAGAAAGCTAAATGTTCCTAACAATTCTTGAATTTCACTGGTGAAATAAAACTTATGAATCTATAGTTTCAACTATCACATGACCAAACATTCAATTAGGTCAATCTACTGAAATGCTTATTTTTTTTGTCCTGAATCATTTTTTGGGAATTTTAAACATAACAGAAAAAAGTAATTTTAATTTAAAACAAAAAAGGTACACACAAACACACACACACATTATATATATATATATATATATATATATATATATATAGATAATATTAGTGGAAAATATACATACATATGCAAAATATATATAAAAATACCCATACATGTATATTTTCAGAAAAACCAATGGAATAAATTATGACCATGGAATATTAGTGTTTAAGCCTTTTTATTATATATATATATATATATATATATATATATGCATCTTTTCATTGAAAACGTCTGACAAGGAAGATTTAATTAATCTTATATTGAGTTTTTCTAGCAATCTAACATTTTTCTGTTTTTTGGAGGTTAAGGAATATAGTAATTGTCAATAGTTATAATTGTTACTTCTTTAGCTATTATCAAGTGTATGTTTTGGATGGTGAAATTCTGTGTGTGGCTACTACATAGTAGTTTTTACAGTGTGAAGTTTGAGCGATTTGTGTGCTCCATGGTGGTCAAATGCTGTGAGCAGCCAATTGACTGGGGAAAAACTTCTATTTTTAGAACACTTTTAACATGCCATCTCCTCTACTAAATAGTGTAAGATTGACGGTGGGAGAGAAGAACCTTTATTGATGAGCTGTGCAGAACCTGAAAGGATCTTATATTATCAACTAGAAATTCTAGTTGATAATATAAGGATCCTTTTCAGGTGACATAGTTGTACACAGCTCGTCATTAGGGAGGCTCTGCTTATTAAACTTTATTCTCCCACTGTCAATCTTACACTATTTAGTAGAGGAGATGGCATGTTAAAAGTGTTCTTGAAACTTTACCAAAGGTTACCTTATTAAACTCATATTTAGGAAAGATAAAAGTTAAAATAGATTAGCCAGTTATAAATTGATAGTTCTACAATATATATCCAAGGAAAAGTCTTTACTAGTCAACTTTGAATGAAGAAACTGCATTTTTTGTTAAATAAAATGCAGAATACCTTATTTATAAAATTATGTTTATTAATAAAATTAATTTTAATTATCTTCAGCATTGTTCTTTTTACTCTTTTAATCATTATAATTTGATAATTTTATATAAATTTGTTTATATATACAATACAATTAAGTTTAGACTTTTGATCTTAAAATATACCAATTTAAATAATATGAAAAAAAAAACTAGACAAAATCATATAAAATAAACATAAAAAATAACATAAAATCTTATAGGTTATATTTTTGTTCTGTCAAGAATAAAGTAATCATTTATGACAGCAGTTTTGAAGAAAAACCTATATAATCTTGCTTTATGCTTTTTCTTCTTTTTTATTGTGTTATAAATAAATTTTTAAAATAACTTTAACAAATACTTTTAACACTGATAACATTTTGGTCTGTAATTTTCATGAGTCATACAAATATTTTTTAACAGAAAAAGAATAAAATGGTTTATTTATTCAACATTTGTTTGTAATTCAGTTCAGGTAATACCCAAAACTTTATTGATTACTCAAAGCAGGGTATTATTGTGATAAAATTTTCAGATTATAAACTATCTGATACCTATTTATGATTAACTATTTTAAAAAAATATCTCTAGCTAGACAAATTTAATTAAAGGACTATTTTCTTAAAACTGATTTTAGGTCATAAATGCCTCCTAATAATATTGGGAAAAAAAATTGACAAAAAAAAGATATTTTTCAAGTGTGAAGATATTTAGGTTGGTAGAGATTTTCATTATGAATTACCCATTGCAGACTATGACTGCATCGAAGTCTTCTGTCTCAGACGCTGCCGAGGACTGCATGTTTTTGTATGTGATGCGCCATCCAACTGAGCCAGCATTCGTAGAAGGTAGTGGCTCCACATGTTGGATTTGTGTCTCTAGCTGCAAGATTTAGGGATTGTCAAGCACAGAGCAAGTAAAACATTTAACATGTTGAAGGAAGAGTAGGAGGAGGAAGAAGAAGGAAAATGGAGGGCAAGAAAACAGAAGATAGAAAAAAAAGGAGGATAAAGCAAAAGCAGTCATGTTCTGACCAAGGAGATATTGGCAGTCAGGTGACTGTTGGGCATTTCATATTGGTATATGAAAAGTTTAAAAAAAAAAGTTCTATTCTGAAGTATAATAAATAATGGCCAGAAGAAAGGTAGCAATGAACCCTGATCTTTGTGAAGAAAAACAAAAGAAAAATTAAAAGAAAACTGGAAAAGAAAAAGCACATATCAATAATGCATAAACTTATAATTAAAATATGTTGTTTTATATTTGATAAGCAAATAAATTTGGTATAAATATCTCTTCATGATCTTGTGCACACATTAGAAATATTTTATTTAATACATTTTTGCCTTTACAACTTATAATTTATAACAACCAAAAATAGAATTAAACCTAATTCATTTGAATACTACATTAAGGTGAAACATGATGTAAAACACATAAAACACAAGTAAATTGCTGATTATATTTTTCAGGTTTTAAACAAAATTGATTTACTACATTGTAGTTATGATATGAAGAACTAGCAAAAAAATCATATAGGTACAATACAGCTTAACCTTTTATTTGTACCAATTGAATAGCAAAAAGAAAAAGTGATAGAAATCAAAATTAGAAAAAGAAAGGTTAAATTAAAAAATATGAGTAAAGGAAAGATGAAGAGAAATAAATTTTCTATAAAGATGATGTTTTATTCCTTGCAATGATACTTGATCCCAGAGAATTATATAAACATTGCCAATAATACTGTTCATTAAAGGAATACAATCTATTTCAGTACATGCAATATTCTCATGCATTTTACATTATTGGAATCCTATTAGACTGTACACACACACACACACACACACACACACACACACACACACACACACACACACACACACACACATCTATGCATGTGAAACAACCTAATTCTGTTCTTATGTATAACTTATTCAACTCAATCAAAACATTTATTCCAAACCAATTTTGTCTTTACACAATTTATAGAAAGAAATTCCTTTTTACTATTATTTTTAGCATCCAATTCTACTGAATAATATGGGAATATATAAATAACAAGATTCATTTTAATTATTTACAGAATCAAATATTAAACATTTATAAAAAGCCATATTTATTTTCAAAAATTAGTTTAAAAAAGAAAGAAAATTTCAAATAAAGTCTGAATGTTTACAGGTGATATTTTTACTGTTTTCACTTTCACTTGTTTTTATCATATTTTTATTTTCCCCATGTTTTTTCTTTAGATTTCTACAGTTAAATGTTTTAAACAACATGAAACTGAAATGGGAACATAAGGGGAAAAAAGAAAGGAAAAATATAGGATATAAAAAATAGGAAAAAATAGTTTGTTCAGGTAGAAAGATAGAAATACATTTTTGAGAATAACAAGAGATTATGCAAATATATTTGTTGCGATAATTTAAGCATATCATAATTCAATTTGTTGATAATATTTATTGCAGAAAAACCTGGAGCTCTGATATGAAGCAGTCTCAGGCTAGGATTTCCTTTAGGTATACCACAGATTACCGTTTGAAAATAATTTTTGTGGAAGATTTTAAGGAAACGGGTATAATCTCTTTCAAAATACTCACCACTTTGAATAAAGAGAAATAAAATTTAATCAGAATAAAAATTTATTTCTAAAAGGCAAAAATATGAAAATGATAGTAAGAAATAGGTATCTATATGAAATAAAAACAACTTTTATCATATTATTAAATTATATAAACGAAACCATAAATTAGATCATAAAATAGACATACCATCAAATTATGACATAATTAAGAGCCAATACTGTCAGACTATACTATCACTTTTATAACAATATTAAACTATGAAGTTATCATACAGTATCTTAAAACACTGTAATATTAAAAGCAACATAAACTCTAAAAAATCATTAAATTATGACAAAATGAAGCTTAAAAATATAACAATATTTTATTATAACATTGATAAACTCTTAATGACAAATTCAGCAATTTCTAATTGTTAAAGTATGACATCATCATGCAATGATGTCATCAGACAGAGTAACATCATCAAATTGCAACATTATAAGCATGATCCTGTTGAAACCATTAGTTGTGAGTTTGTGACATCTGATTAAATTATTTTTAAACCATGATATCAAAACTACAACAATAAAAAATTCATAAAATAAATATTAAAAAAAATAAAGCATAAAATACTGAAATATGTTTTTAAGAAAATAATATCTGGTGAAATTACTAAAATAATTTGAAAAATCATATCATAAATTGATATAATGAATATATTTTATTAACCATAATAAATCAAAATTTAAGCAATAGAGCAAGGGGGATTAATTCTATATAACAAAGTAAGTTCCCTTGAATGCAACTACGTTTCATGACAATTCAATTTTAAGAGGTTCAAATAAAAAAAAAAAAAAAAAAACTAAAAAAGTATCAGTTAAGTAAAAATATAGAAAGAATATAAATTATAAAGTCAAAATAAAAGTTATATAGAACCATGCAAAACTATTCGATATGGAAAAAAAATGACTCTAATTAATTGTAAGTATTTCAATGTGTAAATTGTGCAGAAATAGTTATCAAAAAGAACCGACTTTAATCAATTTTCAACTATATAACAATTATTGAATTCTGTATTCTCTGAAATGCTGGTTTTGAAATTTTACAATATGAAAATGTACCCCAATATAAAACATTTGCTAGTATTATTTTAAAATGAATTTAAATTTTACTCATATTTTTAAATATTTCTAATAGTTTTTTAGGGTATCAATCAAAATCTGTTTTTGATGCTATTATTTAAAAAGATATATCTAAAGTTTAAGGATCAGTGTAAATAATTTTCATCTTGTACCCTCAGAATCTTTCTCAGACAAATGTGTTTTTGTTCTTAACTTCACTCAAATGACAAAAAACAGGAAAGCTAATGTGAAAATGACACAGATAATGAAAAAGAACAATACAGTTTCTGTGTTTACCAACAGAATAATACTAATTTGTGTTCATAAAATTGCACAGCATCTGAAAAAGCTTGTAATTTAATAAATTTTTATGGAAATTATATCTATTCAACAGTTGAGTCTATATAACCGTGTTTTAGTAAAATTACAAAGTTTATAATCAATGAGTATTTATATATTTATATCTATTCAATATACAAACAGTTACTTTTACAATCATGTTAATAAAATAATTATAATATAAGATATTGCTGATGTTATCACAACATATTACCAAAAAACATATATAAAAATTAGTAAGTAATAAACATCTACTGTAGACATATTTATCATGATCACTTTAAAAAGATTAAATAAAAATCAATTTTAAAATTAATTATAATTGTCTTCAGTATTAAAATACATTATTTTATTTATACCATGCAAACAAAATGAATAAACATATTTTAAGCAATATCTTTTGTGGCATGCACATTCCTTTATCAAGTAAAATGATAAAGTTTGTTTTACTCTGAGATACGATATACTGAAAAAATTGTCATAGGAATTTTTATGACAAAAGAGAAAAAAAAATTTTGTACATACTTTAGCATGACTGAATAGGCCAAAATGCTCAGCATAATCTTGGAGATACTCTTTCACATGAAAATGTTCAATGAAGGAAGGGAGGCTTTTTTTGAACTCATAGTCAGGAAAAGCCATGACTTCCTTTGGCAGATTGGTCCTATGAAAAGAACAAAAATTAACCAACATTAAAATTGTGAGTCAGGAAAGCACATACAGAGAAATATTAACATTTAGCAAAATATGTATTTATGTATGTATGCAGGCACATACACATTTACTGAATTGAATTAAATATTAAACAGATAAGATAAATATTATGAATATTACTCAGTTATGATTTTCATATCAATGTTTGTCCAGAGGATAACAAATTTTTTGACATCCAATTGCTAACCAAATTAAGCAAGAAAAAAAAACTGAGTAACTGATTGATGTGAATCCCTATCCCATGAAATTAGATGCAGGGGCATATTGTGTATAGATATTTGTGTGTATGTGTGTCTCTGTGTGTGTGTGTTGTGAGAGAGAGAGAAATAGGGAGAGAGAGCATTTTTCTAAACAACACTGTAAAAAAAGATGATTGTTTTTATCAAACTTAATTTATATCAAGGCTTTGTTTTTCATCTCACAAGAATAAGGAATTAATCACTGAATATATTAACTTAGTTTTTGTAAATATTAACACTGTATAACAGTTAATATTTACCAAAACTTATAAGTCCTTTTTAGAACCTGGCAAATTTTGGTTAAAAATTTTGTTTTTCTGGCTTCAACATGAGACCATAATTTTTTTTAATAAAGAGAACCATGTTGTGTCGTCAGATTTGTCAATATGACTGATTTTAGTGATTTTACGTTTATCAATTTCAGTGTGAATTGCAGTAAGTATTTTGCTTTTGGAAATACTAAAATTAATCTATTAGCTTGGAATTAAAACTAAAATAAAAGCTTTAAGAAAGGTTTTTCATTTTTTAAAATGTATTTTTTTAACCTTAGATATAACTAGTTTTTAACTACATAATATATATTAATGCAGAGTTAATATTTACAAATAAATTTATAAAAATAAAAAAAAATTTCCCATTAAAATTATTTTGATAAGAGAACTGAAGGAGATGAGAAGGAGATAGGTAGGAAAAGATTTGTGTGGGTCAGATATATGAATAAGTGGAGGTTATAACTTAATTGTTTATCTCTTCAGTTTGTGACTAGGCTCTATCATAATTTGTTGAATGTAAGTAATACTCTCTCTCTCTATCAACACTTGATTACTCTTATTGATAAAAGATTAACAAATTGCAGAATTAGAAATTTTATGTGGTGTTAAGTGAATTAAAAAAAATTTAATCTGTCACCTTTAAAATATTATAACTTTGAAAAGAAAGAAGTTTTTAGTACAAAGCATTTTTAAAACAATTTCAATATTGATATTTAAGTTAGGATTTTCAGTAAACAAAATTTTCGTTAAAAACTTGTAAGATAAATCCAGTGAATTACTTAAAGAGTAGGTATGATGTCAAATTTATTATATATATAATGATAATATCAGTTAACTAAAATTAGCAATATATTACCAAATGTGTGATTCTGACACTACCTGCTAAAGAAAGGTTAAAGGCACAATAATACCTCAGCATATCTCCTTGTTATTAGACAAAATTATATTGTCCAATGACTACAACTAAAGAAATTAAATATTTAAGGAGACAATACAAGATTTTAAATTCAACAGTGACATTTATTAAACTTGGAAGATGTCATTTTACATGAATGTATGTAAGCACTCATCTCTATTGCAATATTGCCCCATCAGCTTCCTTAGTGTCATAAGCAAAAGTTTTGAGGCTATAATCAAGAAGGTTAGTGGCCCACTGCTGATGTCTTAACTGTCATTATGTAATGAATCAGTGAAGCTTATGGTAATAAATCCATCATAAGTGTGATCACCTTAGGTATCTCAAAGGCTTTTGACAAGTTGTGGTATAGGGAAATGCTATGCAAACTCTTCAGCTATGACATTTCTGGGAGTCTTCTCGATTATGAAATATTTCCTAACAGGTGGGTCCATAAAGGTCATTTTTAATGATCAGTCCTGACATCCATGAAATCAATTCCTGCATCACCCATGGCTCTCTCTTCAGTCCTACCCATTTTCTGCTATATATTAACAATCTGCCTAAGAATATTTTCAGATCACTAGTAAATATATATATATATATATATATATATATATATATATATATATATATATATATATATATATATATATGCAGATGGCACCATGATTTATAGGAGAACCACCAAAAATGTACATGAATCAGAATCTGGCAGCTGATCTCTACTCTGACTTTTGCTTGCACAGCTCAAATAGGGAGGAACTGAACATTGAATACCTTCAAAACCAATTAGTAACATTTTATCCTCACAGAGTTGACTCTCATCATGATAAACAGTTTTACTCTCAATGAGGCTCCTTACCTGAAACATCTACGGGGACTCAAGCTCACACTAAACTTCAAGTATATGAACCATTGCTAAGGAAGCTGGAAAAGTGGTTGGCTCCCTCTACTGCTCTGTGAAGTGCCTTACTATGCTCTATCTTTACAAGAGCCAGATCAAACCCAAAATAGAGTGTATTGTTATTCACATATCTGGGTTGGAGCTGCTCAGTCCTTGCTTTCCAACCTTGATAGAGTTCAAAAACATTTGTGTTGCCTTTTGTAGATGATGACCAACATTTTCAATACTTATTCATTAATGAATGAATTGTATACTGGATAGATTATTTTATTAAAAACTTTGTGGAAATATTTTTGAAGGTTCTGTTTCACCTGCCTCTTTTCAATATCTCTTGTGTACATTTTGAGGGAGAGAGACACAAAATTTTTACAGTTATATAAAGAAAAATTCCCAAAGCTGTTATTTCAGTCAAAGATTTATACAATATCAACTGTGAACATCTTGATAATTTGTCTTGGACCTTCACAAAAATAATTTAATAAAACTAAAAAAATACTTTCTGAGAGTTGATGCTTGTATAATTTAATAAAACATATTATTTCCTTTCAGATTAGACAGAAAAAAAAACTATATTTATTTATTTTTTAAAAAATTACTTGAATATTTCCGTTTGATTTTGAAATTCAACTCATTGTTGTTTGCACCAAGAGTTCTTTTTATTAAAAAAAAACCTTTTTGAAGAATCAAAAAAGGTAAAGTTTAATGCCATTTCAAGTGTGAACCTTTTTAAAAGAATTTTTTTTTCCATTTTAGCAACCATTATTATTCATTTTTGTAATTACTGTAATTACTGTAATTACTGTCTTTGATTAACTAGTTCACCCTATCGGAAGAGTAATATTACATATGATAATTCAATAACTCTTAAATTCAGTATAATTAAGACCACATTGGGTTATTTTATGATATCAAACAGGTAAAGAGGATAATGAAAAAAATTAAAAAGCAATGTATTAATCACAAGTATCATTTAATTAAAAAAATAAAAAAAAAACTACTCTTTACTTTATACTATAAAAAAATAAAAGGTTATTTATTATTGTGCTGCTCATTGAAACAGCAGTTTTAACTTGGAGCTATGAGGCTATAAGCGGCTATTTTTAATTTAAAGAAATAATATCACCGGGCACAAAACAGAATTGATACAAACACAAGCTAAACGCAGTGCTGATAATTACAGTGACGAAGAATGAATTCAAAGAAAACCTAAGAATAACAAGTAATAATTTAAAAAAAAAACTCACCTAAGTTTAAATTTTAAGCATTTATTCAGCCTAATTACAATTCAATAATTAACGGTAGATAAAGTAACAGTAGTTCAGCTGTTTAAATTATGTCTAATTTATTGTGACCTATGGTGTATTAGTTCTTGTGAAGATATTGTGATGAGATTACATCACGAGTCAATTAGGCTTCTTAGTTAATTGTTTTTTTTTTCTTCAACTCGTTGTCTACATCGAGAAACATTTACCTGACAAACGGTAGTTATGCCAAAAAACATTTGTTACAAATTAACTTAAGCTAACAAGGATTATATTTACAAACATATTTCACTAGAAAAAGTATAAACTTCTAAGTAGTTTCAATTTCTAAATAATATTGTTTTCAAAATAAAAGAATGAAAAAAATTCTCTTTTTAGAATTAGTTTCAGCTAAATGCAACATTACATCATCACCTTCCTGATGGTGCCACAACTTATATGACCCCATTCCTTGTGTGCAGCGTGAATTTGAGGAATGAGTTTCTCACAGAATATGTTTAAAATTTTGATTTAAAGAAGTAGTTACTTTGTAATTTAAATGGATAAAAAAATAAATGGATTTTAAATGGATAAAATCATAAAACCTAAAAAAGTACATTTATTTTAAAACATTTGTTATTATTGTTAGTGTTTTAAGAACAGACATTGAAATCATCAACAATAAAATAAAATTAAATAAGCTAGATTGCATGCATCTTTTTTTAATAATAATGATACACTTGATAAATACTTTGATTGAAAATATCTTAACAATCGTTAAGGTGAAACAATGAATCTGAATTAAGTGATGATTATATAACAAATTTAAATAAATTAAATTAAGAAGATAGACAATAAATGATGAGTAGTTGGTTTATTAAATTGTAATTTTTTGTTTGTTTTTTTGACTTTTGAACAAATAAGATAAAGATGATGTTTGTTGTTAGAAGAGTAATACAAAGTAATAAAAATAAGGAAAATGATGGAGATGAGTAGGTGGGAAAGAAGAAGAAAATTGATATTACGTAATAATTACCTCAGATTTTTATACATACTGGAATGTATAGAAATGCCGTTTTTATCAGTCCGTACTTCTGGAGTATAGACCCAGGTTCCACCAACCTGTGAACTCTGTTCAAAGCCAACTGCCCTGAAGAAATTCGGACGAGCTGCAAGGTGCCGCAAAGCGCATAAGCCTGCTGCTCCCAAACCAATAATTGCGATGTTCTTCATTTTCTATATGAAGATTGAGCGATGAAAACCATAGAAATCGGCAGCCAAGACTGACGGCTTGCTGCAAAAATAAATTTTATATAGGCAGACAGTAGCTTGCGCACATGCGCGTATATTGCAAAGAGACTAAAGAGAGTAAGAAAAGAAGAAAGGAAAAAAGGAAAACGGAGTGAGAGAAGTAAAAATAGAAAATGTATATAAATGAAATGTAGTTGCAGTAAAAAGGTTTTAAAAGGTGGTAGGTGTAGCACGGTCTAGAGAGATTTCATTGACAGAATTAGTCATGTGTTCTCTTGTTTTATCGCATGAAAGTTGTAACTCGGGAACTACAGCAGCATCAATTGCAATTGACAATTATGTCGTATAGACAGAAACATGTAGTGAAAGAGGGAAGGGAGAGAAATAAGTGAAGACTTAAAGTCTCGACAAAAGAGATGAAAAAAAAACAGTGAGAGGAGCAATAGAGCGTAGCTAAAGAAAAAAAGAAAAAAGAAGAAAAACCAAATTCACGCAAATACAAATGAACCAATGCAAAGTGCGTGAATGTAAAAAAATGAGAATAAAGAAGAAAAAGATAAGTGTGTGAGAAGGATATATAGAAATAAAAGAAATAGGGAAAGCGAGAAATGGAGAGTGAGTGTAACTGTGTAACTTAGTGTATGGCTCTTTACAAAACTAGCTGAACTGAATGTATTGAATTTTGTATTGTATGTTGAAATAACCGAGTCGTTATTTGAAACGTAAACGGTAAACGAATTGAATTGTCTATCTATTTAATTTAAATATGAATTAGATTAATAACACAATTTTATTTTTATGCATCTTATTCTTAACTTAAGTCATGCGCAATCGGCAATCACATTTCGAACTTTTCCATTTCTAAAATCTAATTTGTATTCATTATGTCCTGGTGATGCCAGTATTTATACATTATGGACGTCTCTTCTAATAATTGGGCTAGAAAACAAACATTGTAAATGAATCCTTACTCTTCTTAGCCATTATTTTTTTCATTGAATCTACATTCTACAATCTACATTCTGCAATACATGAGTTGACATTTCTAATGTCTGTCCCTCCTAATTGTGTACCTAAAGCTAAGCATTTTTAAAAATGTCTACTTTTAAGGACAATTTTGTGTCAGGTTCTGTATCATGGAGACATTGTTAATGTTAAACAAAAAAAGCTTTTTCAAGTGTCTATTGTTCATGCATGAGTATCTTCTTCGAAGACGTGTTTTACGTGCATGTGTGCGTGATATTGATGACATAGAGAGAGAGAGAATGAATATGAATAATACATGTATGTTTTCTTTAATTGTACAGTTTGAAAATTGTCAAATCAAGACTTATCCCGCAGACTAAAAGACATTATTTAAAAGTATTTTATTTTAAACAATCACTATTTATAAAATAAAATTGTGTGCGGTGTAAAATATGTAATGTGCTTTATCAGTTATCAGTACACACTCCCTCCTACACTCACGCCCAGACGGCAGATAACAAGGCCAATGATATTTTACAGTCAACTCAAATCCAAAAAACGTATTGAGTTTCAAAAAAAGAAACATTAATTTGCTTAAAATTTACAATAATCACGCATCTTTTTATTGTGCATCTGCAAAATTTCCCCCAATCTTTGACCCTAAGGTTTTTCATCTCTGCTTATAGATATAATTTTATATTTTTACATTCTTTAAGTTTGAGTGTTAAAATCCAAGGCCATTCACACAACCTGACATTTCAGATGACCCTTTGACCTTTTATGATTTCTAGTCTATCTCTGATGGACGCTTATGGTGAAATAAAGGTTTCTTGTAGTGAAGCTGTCAGCTAGCTCGTGTTTGAAATTAGTGTTTTCTTTGTTGAACCTATTAGTGTTTCAGAAACTTTTGGTTTTGATTCCCTTTTTTCGATTCTTCCATTTACTTTTTGATTTACCTGCATAAAATTCTACCCTTATTGTTTTTAAATCTTTTATAATGTCAAATTTTGTCGTTATCGCATAACTCAACGACAATCATTTTTTTAGCCTACTTTCTTCGATTAAAAAATCTTTCGGGTTAAATTCCTCTGTAAAAATATTGTTTCTGATTGGGGTTCATTTAATATTAGTAGCCGTTATATCATAAATAGCTGTCTTAAAAGATGTTTTTCCCTGGGAGAGAATGGAAGAAGAGAGAACGTCCTTATCCCGAACATTAACAAAGTTGGCCACTGGTGTAACACGGATTTTTTTATAATTTTTCGTTTATAGAACACAGTTCTATTCACAGGTTTCTATATGTATGATGCTTTTCAGATGGCATCCAAAAATTGTTTCCCTTCTGCAGAGACGTGCAGAAGTCTGGTAGCGCCTGAGACAAGGATTGTGACTGGTGCTACCTACCCCTCCCCGATACACACCAACAAAATCGCAACAGTATACTTAGTTTATTTTCCTTTCGACAAATCCATTGTTCACAAATGTTTATCATAATCAGTTAGCGGTAATGTTTAAATAATAATTAAAAAAAAACATTTAACACATAAATTCGACAAATTTTGTTTATTTATAAGGTTGACAAAGGGTTTCGGAAATTTTATTTTCTGGAAGAAAATAAGACCTGATGCAACAGTATTTCCACTACTGCCCGAAGAAATTACGAAGAAAAAAATGCAAATCAAATTCAATTATATAAGGAAAAAATATTTATTACTAACCAACTAAACAAGGGTGCTTAAAAAATTCGTCCATTTTTGCCGAGACAGGATGACCTATTTTATGACTAACAAAATGTAAAAAATACCAGAAAAATAAAAAAAAACTTTAAAAATTACAATGCACAAATTAATAAAAAGATTGAGTCCACCTGCTGTGTGATAACAAAAAAGAGCCTTTGCTCTACACACACTTTCTGTGCTTTCAAAGTTCAAAAGTTCTTTTCTTTATATAGTCTTCTTTTCTTCTTTTTTATTAGACAAAATTCTCTTTCCTTTGGTCACCAAGCTCCCTTTTTTTCTTCTTATTGTCTGCCCGTCCGAATGGAGGGTTTGTCTTTCTTTTACTATACGAACGAGGAAGGAAAAACCTCCTTAAAACACGCAGTAGTACAACTTTTTTTTTATACATTGACAATGTCTTCGACTACTACTACAAATATTTTGTCAGAAGGTTCAGGAGTAACACAATTAAAGTTTTATTCTCCTTCATCTCAAAAATTTTCAAAAGGGCTTGAACTGAAACATTTCTTATCTGTTTAAATGTTTTGATATTCGTACAGAAAGGGGTTTAACATCTAACAAGGATGTAAGATATTTTGCCGAAGAATCTAGGATACTTTGATAAACTGGAAATGGATCCAAAATTAACTCTCAGAGAATAGTTGAAGAATGTTTCAAATTTTGTGAAATTTAAAGCGAATTGATCACGTACGCAGGATTGAGGAAAAAAGAAAATTCAAAGGTTGAAACAACTCCTGATCTGTTTAACCAACTAATATTCGTTAAAGGGTTTACAAACAAGGAAAAAACAAAAATTTAAAACTATAAAGGAAGACTATAAAAATTATCTCAATACCTAATATTTGTCATGGTATTGTGGTGGTAAAGCATTTTAAAAAGGATTTGTTTCTTCAGAAACAAGAAATGCTTTGAGTGTGGGAAATTAGGACACAAGAGTGCGCGTTGCAGATCCCAAAAAGAGAAGAAATAAAACGAATGTGAACAGAATTAACACATACAGTAATAATAAAAAACCCAAGAGGCAAATTAATTACACTTCACAAAAGAGAAAATATGTTTTCATGCAAATAAATAGTGTAAAAATTAAGTTGCAATTAGACACAGGATCTATTATTAACGAGAAGACTTGGAAGAAAATGGGTAAACCCAGGTTATTAACTTCTGAGAAAATCGCTTATGGAGTCTCAGTGAAATCATTAAACTTTTTAAGCAAATTCAGTTGTAACGTCTCGTTCGTTGGAAAGATCAGAAAAGCAGTAGTATTTGTGTCGAAAAACACACCAAATCTGTTTGGTACAGATTGGATGGCCATTGGTTGTGATCTGTGGGACGTACCTATTAACTCGTTTTGTAATAACGTAAATATTGTTGCCAGTTCTAATACAGCAAATGAAAAACTAAAAAGCGAACTAAAAAAAAGACTTTTTCAGTTTTTTTTTTTCTGAAGGTCTTGGTAATGCACAAAAGTAAAAGCCAAGTTTCAGTTGAAAGACAACGTAACGCCTACGTTTAAACCAAAAGGAAGTGTACCCTTTTCGGCTGTATATCCAATCAACAATGATTTGGAAAGGCTGGAGGCATTGGGAGTAATATTGATAATAGACTATTCCGAATGGGCAGCACCGACAGTCTACGTTTACAAGAGGAATAATTGAATATGAGCGGGTGCTGATTTTTCGACGGGACTAAACGAAAGTTTGAAACAGCATAATTACCCATTAACTAGACCGGAAGAATTTTTTGCAAAACTAAATGGAGGTAATTTTTTCTCAAAGTTGAACCTCTCAGACACATACTTACTTGTGGACGAAGACTGTTCAAAATTACTAGCTATTAACACCCACAATAAATTTATATATAGTTATATAAATTCAACCGTCTTCCTTTTGGTGTAAAGGTTGCACCAATTATATTCCAACAAATAATTGATACCATGCTAGCTGTGTTGGATTGTGCTCAGGCATATTTGGACGACATATTGGTAAAAAGCAAAACCAGAAAAGAACATGCTGAATATTTAAAGAATGTCTTTGAAAGAATCAAAGATTATGGCTCCAAAATAAGTGAAGAAAAGTGGGAGTTATTCATGTCCAAACTCAAATATCTAGGGCAGATTATTGATGAGACCGATAGAGGACCAGATCCTGCAAGAGCAAGCGCGATAAAGGATATGCCGCGCCAACTAATATTAAAAAACTACAAGCATTCTTAGGTTTTGCAAACTATTATCATACATACATACCTAATATGCACGAGTTGAGAGCACCATTAAATAAT